CCCCTACCAAGAGGAGCGGAGGCTTCGGCACGGGGAAAAGGGATCCGCATGGTCTCCCCCCTTTGACAGGGACCAGCAGGGAATGGGAGAGACCCAGTTTCCCTGAGCACTACCAGGAGTAACAAGGAATAACGATCACAAGTTGACTGAGAGTAGGTTCAGGCTAGACATCAAGAGGCGCTACTTCACGGTCAGGGCGGCTAGGATCTGGAACCAACTTCCAAGAGAAGTGGTGCTCGCTCCTACCCTGGGGGTCTTCAAATGGAGGCTGGATAATCACCTAGCTAGGGTCATGTGACCCCAGTACTCTTTCCTGCCATGGCAGGGGGTCAGACTTCATGATCTGCTCAGGTCCCTTCCGACCCTACCAACTATGAAACTATAAAAACTGTGGATTTTGGGTTACTTTTTTAAATCTGAAAATTGGGGATTTTTTTGATCAGAGAAAACCAGGATCCCTGGTTATAAGTCTCTCAGTTGTGGTGTTCTGTAACTGTTCCATCTCCAGGTAACAGGAGTAATAATTGATAACAATGAGGTAAACAGAACGCTTCCATGTCAGTAAGTCGGCTTCCAACGTCCCATGACTAGATCCCTGATATCATGGAGCCTGTGTTTTGTTTTTGGTACCTTGCCAGCTCACAGTCATTGAATCTTATTTGAGACCATCATTCTAAACAGTACGTCTCACTCTTAGCACAGTTCTTCCAGAGACAGTGCTGTGTGTACTGGTGGCCTAGAAAGAGTATCATCTGTCTGTAACTCTTTTCCAGGAATGTGGCCGTTTCTAAAAATCTGCATAATTCTGGGACATCCTTGAGTTCTGATAACCCCTTAATAGCTGCAACTTTTGCTGGATCTGGTTGGATTCCTTGTAGTGTAATCCAATGTCCCATAAACATGACTTGGGGAGTAGCAAAAGTGCCCTTTTAATTAAGTGTAACTCCAGCTTCTTGGAATTTTCTGAGTGCTGCATCCAATCTTGTATCATGTTGTGCCTTAGTGGTCCCATAAACCAAAATGTCATCAGCATGACAAAGAATACCTTCTAGGCTATCCAGTATCCATGATATCTGAAGTTGAAAGAATTCAGGAGCTAATGAGATATAGAAAGGTAACCATTTAAATTGGTATTGTCCAAATGGAGTAATAAAATGTTAGCTTGAATGATTCAACAACTAAAGAAATCTGCCAGAATCCTGCCTTAGCATCCAATTTTGTGAAGGCCTTGACTCTTGCAAGTTGAGTCAAGGTCTATTCCACTGAAGGAAGAATGTCTCTCTCAGCACGTATTTCTTCAGTGGTGTGAGATCAACACATACCCTAATCTTACCACTGGATTTCAGTACAACCACCATCCCAGAATATCAAGAAATAGGTTCTTCAGTCTTAGTGATTACTCCCATTTCTTTCACTCATGCTAGTTCTTCTTTTCACTTTGTCCATTAACAATAAGGGTACTGGTCTTGATGTAGTTAATGTATATGAAACTGCATCAGCTTTAGACATATTTTATATTCTCCTGAAATTTTTCCAAGACCTGCAAAGATGGTTGTGTATTTGGTTCTGGAGTCCTTCTCTAAGGATTTCTGATCTGCTATTTTATCCAGTCATCATACAAGCTGTAGTGCCTGTATAACACAGTAAGCCAAAGGCATCATATGATTACAGATCATATGCACTTCCTAGTCTATAGTTCTTTGCTTCAGTATCATTTTTGCATCATTTTCTGTGCTTCAGTGTCATTTTTGAAGGGACCCCATATTTTGAGGGTAGTGTCACCTGATCCCTATAACAAGGGAAGGAGAATCCCATCCCTCATGTTGGCTGCAGTAAGTATCAGGTATACCTGGAACTGCTGCTCCTGTCAGTTTAAAATGGAACTGAATTTCCATTGAGCTCCATTTCTGCCATCCAGACTCCTTGGTCTAATGAAAACTCTGTAAATTCTTCCAGTAACACAGTACAAACCTCTGAGTCCTGTTCTGCGATTTTATGGACTCCTGTGGTGCACAACAAACTAAAACATAGTGACCTTTCTTTTTACATGTCGACATAGATTTCCTTAACAAGACGCTAACTTAAACCTTGCCCAAGGATTTTACCACACCTACAGCATTGGCCCCCTTTCCCACCTGGTTGTTGCTATAGGTGCCAGTGGGACCACTCGCTTTCTTCATTGTGCATGTCAATTCTAATTATTTTGGTAGTAGTTTCTTGACAATGTGCATTGCATCCATATCAGCTGATGCCTGATAGGGCTTGGAATCACTTTGGATTTCCCTTTGTTGCTGCTTAACTAATTCTGAATAGCAGACATGTGTGACAGCCTTGTAGAGTGTGAAATCAGAGTCCAGCTGTAGTCTGTGTGAGAGCTCTTCACTGTGAAGACCCACAACTAAGTGGTCCCTAATTACTTCTTCCTTGATCTCCCCATATTGGCGAGATTCAGCCAATGTATGCAAAGATGTGATAAAGCTGGGCACAGGTGCTAAAGGCTCCTGTTTACGGAGATTGCCTCTAGCTCATTCATAAATTACATTTATTTTGCCCCCCAAAATGTTCAGTTGCTGCCTCTACCACATCAGCATATTGCTTTTTCTCTGCATTTATAAAAGACAGGGACATCAGCATTTCATCAGCCTGGTCCCCTGTTGAGTAGATGAGAGTACTTACTTGGTAAGGCTCAGACTTTTGTCCAGACCTGACACTTTCACTTTCCTGAAGCCGTTAAAACGCCTGATCCATCCAGGCCATTCCAGGAGACTGGAAATCAAACTATTCTGGTGGTTTAACTAAAACTGCCTGCATTGTCTCTGTAGCCAACCTGTACCCTGAGCTGGACTCAGCTGCTTTTGGCGCTTGGCCTGTCACCTGGGAATCACCCGCTTAATGACTGATGTTTGTGTTCCTGTTGGTGGCAAGATTCAGCCACTCCTTATTCCAGTACTATCTCATAGCTCAGGAAGAGGCAGGGAGACATACTGCTCTCAAAAGGACTTTACTGCAACAACTAACACACACGCAAAGATAGCTGACAACTTCCTCATGATGTCATCTTGTCAGCTTTCAGGAAGGGAGTTAACCATACTACTAAAATCAACATTCCTAAAGGTGAACGACAGGTATCCTTTAGGATATATAAAGCTCTCGAATTAATGTATCTTGTACACACAGCAGATTGGAGACAGGTGAGTCTGAACTCAGTAATAGCATCCTCAATCGGGGAAGGAAAAATATTTGTTTTTGTTGAATAGTAAACATTGTATTTGTAGTAATGATGCGATAGTCATTGTAAATTCTGTTTGTGACCAATGATATACCTGCTGAATATTTTATTTTAGATTCTACATCTCGCGTGGATGGGTGACTTCTTTGCTTGCTCTAGCTGCTTTTCTCAAAGGCTAGTTCTGGGTGTTGTACAACTCTGTCTCTGAGTTTTTTCTCAAAGAAACAAATAACTGTCTTTAGGATTCAGTTAGATCCTAAAATTGTAAGATTGATCCTTTGGTCTTAGATCAGTATAGTTTTACCTTCTTGGTACTCTCTGTTGATAAACATCTCTCAAATTGTCATTTTCACCTGGAGTGCAGGACGTCTCAAATTTCTGAGGCACATTTTCATTGTCAGCTTCCTGTGTCTAATGTAAGTAAAATTCTTCAAGTGCTTTAAGACAAGCCCATGTCTCCAGACACTCTCTAGAGAAGAGTCTATGATACCAAAACAAGATTGGAGCAAAAACATTGGTAGGAATGCTTTATCTTTGATTTTGACTTTGCCATAGGCTTTTTGAAGGGAAGAAACGTGGAAACAAGCAGAGCATGTGGCGACAGAGACCCAAATAAAAGAAAAGAAATGAGATTTGAAATCTGAGAATCTTGATTCTGTATCTATTCTCTCCTCTCCCTTCTGCACTCTTTGTATGCTTTGTCAGGGAAAGGCAGAACTATTATCATGGTCTCTGTCATGGCTACCCATACACTGAACCATAGAATTGCTTTTTAATTCACTATTGGCACATTCAGTCAAAACAATACCCCTTGTTCAGAAAATGGTATATTTACTTAGATAACATTTTGAGGCCTTTCTTTTGTCATGTTTGCTGCTTTTGATTTCTTTTCAGATTCTCTTCTGTGCTTGGAAAGAACCACCCCCATGAACCTGCCACTGATCATTCTGGGCCTAGCTGCCCTTATTGGTGAGTTTGGGGCTCTCTCTGGTTCGTCAAACTTCCTGCCACAATAACAAGAGATCTGGGGACACGTAAGACATTTTAAAATTACATGACGTCAGTCTTCTCATACCTCTCCTTTGTTTGCTCATTTGTCCATACCCTAACACATTTCATTAGTATTTCCACAAATCCTAGCTGTGTACATGGACATAGGGAATGGGTGCAACAGTTAATGGAATCAAATTCAAATATATCACATGACAGAGCTCATAGTACTTAGCAGGACACTTGCAGAATGGGGGCATAGGGTGTGTCCTGTGATGGGCACTTGGGCATAGAGCTCAGGACGTTTTTCTCCCTTGGCTCTTGGGGAATGCAGTGAAAGATCCATCTCTTTGAAAAGGACATCACCCTCAGTAGAGGCAGCCATTTCTGGCTGACAGGCTCCATAGGACCTATGAAATACAGAGTACTCCATCTTGACAAGAGTGTGGTTAATGACTCCGAATTTGCCTACCTTTACTTCTGCTCACAAAAGCTCCTTAATGTAAAAGTTCTCTATTGAACTCTTCAGACACTTCCAGTCAGTCTGGATGCTATGGTGATATAAACAGAGTTGATACCACTGGGGTATCTAGTCAAACTGCAAGACCAGAAGGTTTAAACTACATTGGTGAGTATGATTGTGTTTTCTGGCTCATTTTAGAATACAGAGTAATCACTGTAATCCACAGCTCTTGATTTCTTCCAAGCAATGAAAAAAGGGTTAACTAGGGTCACCATATGTCCCAGATTATCCAGGACAGTCTCAGCCTCCCAGCCACTGGAGAAAATTGAAGCAAAAGTCTCAGACTGGTGGTAACCTTACCACAGGTGTAGTACCAGCACACAGTTTTTTAAGTGATGCTAAATGTACAGTAGTCTAATACTACTGCAGAGTAGTGTATGAGCATGGGTTTTGCCTGGCATGCTACTGCAAAGTGTTATTAAGCTACTACACAGTTAGCATCTCATGTAACTGTGCCCCTGAATTTTAAAATTCAAAGTGACCACCCCCAATCTGTGCAGTAAATCAGCAATGGAGCTGACTGGGAGATTCCTGGTTTCCCATCTCTTACTTAGCCATTGCTAAGCACTGATGTCATTACAGGCAGTGCTAGTAAACTTGAAGGAACACCTTATTCTGATTGCTCCAAAAATAAAGTAGGATTTAAAACACAGACATGGTTTAACTAGGGGTGAAGTTACACATTACCTTTACACCATACTAAGGGCACTTAAAACACAAGTGTCTACACATTAAAGATCATTAATTTGTGCTAAGCTTCCTCCCTAGCTTGTGTTAGGGTAATTTCAGTCTGCTCCACATAGATAAAATGAGTAAGATAACAGTCCTCCAGTGTCCCATGGTGCACCACTCCCACCCCCACTTTAATCCCTTCCCACACAGGTGTCCTGTCTCCTAATCACACCCTACTTGCCAGCCCCCTACTGGCAAGTTTGAGCTGTGCAGGAAAAAAATAGTATTAACCCTTAACACACAACTGCTCACAGCACAGTCTAACTTTGACACTGCTTATCATTCCATAGATTTAGTATGGTCTAAGTGTAACATGTAACTTCACCCCTATACAGTTTTCTCTTAGCACAGCGTGGGCTGATATGGAGGCTTCAAAAGAAAAAGGAGAGAAAAATGTAAGTGTGGGGACTACTACCTCCCCTCCCTCCAATATGCCTCTTGGAGGTATACAAGTCCTCCATTTGTTTGATTAAGTGTCCCCTTTTTGACTGTAAACCTCCATAGTTCTGCCTTGTCCTTCTGTCTGCAAACAAGATACTTGTCTAGAGGGTCTCAGGTTGCTGTCTGTTCCTCTTCAAAGACAGTGCACAATTCCCCTTCACTTTCCCGGCAAATCCATACCCCTTCTTCCTTGAGTCCAGCAATACAGACAGGCACCAACTCTTTCCACATCATTTCAAGTCACATTTCTTTTTCACCTTGACACTCTATATATGATTCATAAGTTGAAATGCACAACCTATCTAACTCATACAGTGTCTACCTAGGGTGAATAACAAACGGTTCTGAAATTTTGATAAAAATTTATTAAATGAAAACTTTTACTTGTACAGGAGTCCGGGCTTCTGAAACGATTGCTGCAAAGGACCTAACCAGAATGAATACATATAAAGGCATCATTCAAAGTGCTGGCAGAAAACTGTGCGTAGATCCTGCTGTGATTGCTGGCATCATCTCTAGAGAGTCACATGCAGGAGCTGCCCTAACCCGTGATGGCTGGGGTGACAGGGGAAATGCCTTCGGTTTGATGCAAGTGAGTAATTTACAAGAATCTTAGAACAAGATAGCACGAACGGGTGTTATAGGCAAGAAGACAGCCTTATTTCTCAATAGTGCAGCTTCTGCTGATGCCCATACCATGAAAACAAACTACAGCTGGAGAAGCAGCATGTTACATGGGACACCTGAGATCCATGAGCAAGCTTCTTTAGAGTGTTGATTCCTCTTTGGACAGTGTTTTTCAGCCTAAGGTCCACAAACCCCATGGGAGTGCACAGACCATAAAAGATGACTATGATCAATCAAAAGTATGTGAATACCCACACTTACAATTCAAAGGGGTCTGCATCTCCATTCAAAACTTCCAAAGTGGTCTGCACCTCCATTCAGAACATTGTACGCTTCCACAAATGAAAAAAGGTTGAAAACCACTGTCTTAGGAAGTAAAAGAGAGTCCTTAAGAGCCTGTGCATTTTATCATGCCACCCAGACAGTCCATTTTGTGGTGGCAACATTTGTGAAGGTGAAAGCCTTACATGAAGGAACGAGGCGAGTCTGCATTCTCATCATAGTAAGTTTACATTTGATCTGTTCCATTATTCTGAGCTTCCCACTCCTCTGGTCTCCAGCTGCATGTTTAAATTTGTATGGAAATCCTTACTGAAACACCCTCTCTCACTCAGGTGTTACCTAGCTCTGGAACTCTTTAAACAAATGGGTACTTCAGCGTTTGATTTTAAAAGGTCCTGAGACATGTAATATTCAGCTTCTGTGCACACCCACAAACACTTTAGTCTTGACAGGGCTGAGTACCTCAGTGCCCATCTCATCCCCATTGTCTACTGGTAACTACTAGGTTGGATTCGATGGCCTTTCAAGGTCACTTCCAGGCCTTAATTTCTATGATTTTATGATACAACATCTAGACTTACACACAAGGGGCTCAGTCTAGGAAGGATACTCATAGCATGCTTATCTATGAGGCAGTGACAGCTGCATTTTCAATTAAAACTCAAAACAGAGGGATTGGAGAGGATGTAGCCCCCTTTACACTATAGTTTAGTAGTTAAAGCTCTCCCATGATGAAAGTTTCATTCCCACTTCTGCTGTAAGGGTTTCAAATCCTGATCACCCATTTTTCCTAATCTGCTAAGCCTCTAACCTCTTGTGTGGTGGGGTTGGATTGTATTCTCAGTTCAAGATTCACCGAGTCACAGTATGCGAGGTGCATGACTTCAGCTTAGTGTTTAGGGCCCTCACTTGGAAAAGTAAACTTCTGAGTTCTGAGCACAGCTCCTCTGCTTCTAGCACTGGCAGTATCTAAAGTGCCAGTATCAAGTCGTGAAAGCATGGAGTACAGAGAATATCATGGGGCATTCTGGCAAAAATTTGACGCAATAAAAGCAAGCTGAATGTATTGTGAGGGCAGTAAACTGCCTAAACTCATTGAGCTAAGTCTTATTTCACCTTTACATGCCAGAGTGGCATGAATATAACCACTTCGCTGCAATTCTTGGCACTTCTGCCAAATTTAGATCCTATTTCCACCTGTGGTGGAACAGGATCACCCTATACACATGCTAGCCAGAACTCATGCAGAGGAGCAAGCCCTTCCCACCATTTAGCCCAATGGCCTCATGGTTCGAACACTTGCCTAGGGAGGCATTCTAGATTCTAGGTTTTGATCACCCAGAGGGTTTGAGCCTCTATCTCCTGCTTCTCAGAAAAAGTGCCTTAACCATGGCACGGGGAGACCTGAGTTCTGGCCCTGATCACTCTCCTAGTGGGACAGAAACAACTCCACTCCTGTTGATCCATGTTACCCAATGAATATTAAATGCATGGTTTAGTGGGATAAGTTCAGAACGGGGGCTGTGTGCAATGCCTGGCCCATGGCCTGGTGATTAAAGCACATTACTAAGAAAGAGAAAAATGTAGCTTCAGCTTTCTTCTAGGTGATCAGCAGCCTAGAACCTAGCAGGCTCTTGGGCTAAAAAGTAGCAGGACCTTCCTCCAGCATCAAACAGCCTCTAGTCATAGTGTTTCTCTGATGAAAGCTTTGAACTTAATAGCCATTATATGGGTGGCAGGAGTTTCTATTTTCTACAGACAAATATGAAGCCTAGTGAGCCAATTCAGAAGGAAAACAGAGGGGTGGGCAGAGGGTACATAACTACAAAGAATGCAAACTGCATGTAAAGGCTGAAATTGCAGTAACAAGGTTACATAGGTACTTGGCTGCATACAAGATTTAGCCCATCATCTTTTGCCTTAGAGGAGTAATGTTCCCTTGGTTTCTTCTAGGTTGATAAGAGGTATCATAAAATCATTGGGGCATGGAACTCTGAGACTCATCTCATCCAGGGCACACAAATCCTTGTGGGTATGATTAAGGCAATCCAGAGAAAGTTCCCAACGTGGACTAAAGAACAACAGCTGAAAGGTAAAGTATGGAATATATTCAGGCTATGAGACAAGGGAAATCCTAAGACACAAATCCCATTTAAGTTTCTTGTATTACTGAACTTCTCTTCAAGAAGCTCTCATAATTTCACCATTGATTCAATTTTTCTGCTTCCTGATTTCCAAGGTCTCATACAGTGAAACTAAATAAATATGTTTCACATTGGTTCTCCCTTTCTTTAGCACAGTATTGGGTTTGAGTTTTCAACACCACTGGGGGAATCGTTAAATCCAAAAAGAAATCCTGTATACACCTGCTTTAATGTGCATTAGCCTATTTTAATATGCATTAAAAGGTCACAAAAAACATGTTCGTTAGCTAATGTGCATTAAACTAAGCTAATGCACCTTTTTCTAGTACCTCACAATGGCGGTACTAATTTAATGCACATTACCTAAAGCGCATTAATGAATGTGTGTGACACGCCCTTTATGTTGTTATTTGGGCCTCAACTGTTTGACCCTACACAAGATGCTGACTGTGCTGTAGCCTGTGACAACTGCACAGTAGTGTCACGTGGCAGGAAGCATGACACAATGCTACTAAGCAGTAGTAATGAGCTACTGTGCAGTCAGAATTACAAAAAAGCCATTTGGCAACACTGCTGCTCAGTAGCTCCATTTACTGCGCAATCAGAATCTCGTGTAGACATGGCCCATTAGTACTATCCTGAAGCCACTGAAGGTAAAGGGAGGTTTGGAATTTATTTAAACATTGCCAGTATCTCACTCTGAATCTCTGTAGACATGCAGTCTTTTTGAGAACTATAGATAGATCTTGAGAGAATTATAAAATTGTGCAGGTTAATGTGAAAGATGGAATAAGATAAATTAACCTCTAGTGAGCTCTGTGCTGCTAGATCTAGACTGATTCTGGTATCCAGCTTAGCTCATTTACAGCTAGCTCAGGTATCTATGCTATACTGCAACATGCAGTGCCAACACAGAGATTGAGAGAAAAGAGGAGAATGAAGTTCATGTTCATGTTTTAACATTCAACCACCATACTTTTCATTCAGCCCTGAAAATGACTGTGACATGGTTACTGGGTCTTCATTCATTAAGTGTGGGTGTGAGCTCAAAAATGAGGGCTCCTGTTTGAATGTGGTTAGACAATTGCATGTTATATTTCCACACAGCTAGTGGTATCTGTGAATGTAAAACCTCAAATCCTGATTTTTCAGTGGAATTAGGATTTTATGCAATCTGCTCTCAGAACCTGAGTCAGATACACAGTACACAGTGAGGGCGCGTCCAGACGAGCACAGAGATGTGGTGCACCACACACTACACATGCAGGCGTTCCCTGTGCTGCCAGTTTGCAGGGCAGAGGGCCATGGAGTTTGACCGTGGGAGATCCTGGGGTTAAAAAGTCCATGCCCAAAAAAAGCAGAGTGGTGCATGTGGCAGCAGCATGCACCACACAAAACTGGAGCCTGGCTGGCCAGAGTCATGCTCTGGCTGCTGGCCAGGCTCTCTGCTGCAGAATCACCATGGCTGCAGCTCCTGGAGGCACCCAGGACTCCAGGTAAGGCTGCTGGGGCCAGCACGCTTGCTGGCCTCAGCCTCCCCTACCCCACCTGGGGTAACATGCCACATGCCAGAGCTCACATGGCGTGAGTGTTCCCCAAGGACAAGTAGCAATGGCACAAGGTGCGCTGCTGCTCTTTGTCCCTACGGAAACACACATTGCCACTTGTTGGAATGTGCCCTAAGAAAGCAATTCAGACATTTCCAAAAGGTCTTATAAATTAGGAGAGAATGTTTAGTTTTCTGTCTGTGTTAACATTTCTGATCCTTTGTTTCAGGTGGGATTTCTGCCTACAATGCAGGACCTGGAAATGTCCAGACCTATGCAGGAATGGATATTGGCACAACCCACAACGATTATGCCAATGATGCAGTTGCACGAGCCAAGTATTACAAGAAACATGGTTACTAAATGTGGGAATGCCCTTCTACTCAGATATATTACAGTCCTTAAGGTGATCAGTCCAACTTTCATAAGAGACCTAGAGCATTGCTCAATCTTACTGATTGTTCCTCTGTGCTATGTGGTTTCCTTATCTTCTTATTGTTAGTTAATTGCCTTCCCAATTTGAAAAGATGCTTGTTTCACTATCTGTCATTCTGCTAAGAAATCAAAAGGGAAAATTAGCTCTTTGGAAAATTTGGGGGTGGGGAATTAAGCTTTCATTTTCAATTGTTTTGTAAATTACTTTGAAAATGCATTCTTACAGCAGCTGGCTTTTGGTTGGAAATCCTCAGGTCTAAGCAAATCATCTGTTTGTATTCTAATTTTTCAGAAAATGCATAGAGCCTGGAGTAAGTGCTTTCAATTGAAGAAAAATAATCAAATGGAATCTTAATAAAAATATTAGTGGGTGAAGAGTAACCACAAAAGTGCTCATATTTTCACTTTATCAGCAAAATTTGGATGAGGACAACTTTTAATCAAAGTGTGTAAATTCCAAAAAGGAATGAAATGAAAGACAGTTGTGCTACACACATTTAGGGGTTTTCTCTGCCATCAAGGGCCTTAACGTTGATTACTTGCAAAGGAGGGATAATATTAGGCTTATTCAGTTCACCAAATTCTATGCCCCTGTGACTCTAAGATTGGAAATTGACTTATTTTTTGGAATGCCATCAACAGCCTGTGGTAAGAAAAGGAGCTCCTAAAACTACTTGATAATGAGCCGTCTGGCCTTGAACCAATACATTAGTGGAATTGCTGCCTTTGACTTAAATTAACATTGATTCAGCCTTTAAAGGCAAGTTGAATTCTGTTCATAGACCTCAGCACCCAGTAACTCCTATAAGAAACAGGACCTGTGGGTTCTGAGCAATTTGGTATATCTGGTTTATTAAGCATCTCAGCTAGAGCTGATATTTTTACAAACCATGGCTAGAAATGGCTTTATAAAATGTCTTCCTTGACCTTCTTTTACTATGGGTGTGTGGCAGGGCGCAACCTAGGGGTGCCGTGAACTCCCCTAGCGACCCCCCTACTGTGCCAAATTGGTTCCAAATGCAGGGCGGAGGGCCATGGGACCCAGCCCCTCTTGATCTCACCCACCATGTCTTTGATGGTAAATATTGTTAAAGGGAGGCTGCCTTTTCACCCTCTTTGGCACGGTGCTCTACGACATCTCAGTCTGTACCCTGCCTTCAATGGCACGGTGCACTCTAACCTCTGGGGCTATGCATGGGCCCTACAGCCACCCGTGCCCTCATGGGTCACCAGGCTCGTCTCTGTTGCCCGCCTGCGCCCTCACAAATGCTCTCCGGCTTGTCTCCCTATCTGCCTGCGCCCTCTCGGGCACCCCCTAGCTTCCCTTGCGGCTCACGCCCGCACTGGGGCCTGTCTCCTGTGCTCACGCCCGCACTGGGGCCTTGCCTCGCGATCCCCGCAATCGAGGCTCATGTGGCTGTAGCCGTGCCTGGCCCCCAGACCCCCTTCCTGGGTCTTGTGCCCCACTGGGGCTTCTCGCTTGCGCCCTCACTGGGCTTTACCCTCCCGATACTGCCCACTCTGGGGCCGGGGTCGATACACCCCAAAAAGTGGCGCCCTCTCTGGCACCAGGAACCCCCCCACACTACTGGGGAGCTCCTATGAGGCCTCCTCCAACCCTTACAGCCTCACCCGGTCCTCCAGTCTTATACAACAACAGGCAACTAAACATAATAACCCAAGCCAATCGGCTGTAACTCAAACATAAGCCTCCTGGCTAGAACCTAACTCTAAACAAACGTTCCCTAACCCACACCATATTCCACCCATAACTAATGACTTATACCTCCAGGCCTTTTCTCCTTTCTTTCCTTTCAGGGTCAAGCTCTTTTCCTCAGCCTAACAGTGCCCCTTCAACCCAGCCGCCAGTCAAGAGAGGGAGGGAGAGACAAAGAGGAGCCACAGTCTCCTGTCTCTGTTTTATGGCGGTCAGCCCTGCCCCTTCCGGTCAGCTGACCCACCAGGTGCCAGCCCTTAGCGCCTCCTGGTTGCCCCTAGCAACCAGCAGCTGAGCCCATACTACTGTTCTTCAGTAGCAGGCACCTTAGTGCCCTGCTGCAGGGTGTAAACATGATTATGCCATAGTCTGCCATAGCACCCTACTGTTTAAGCCATTCGGCCATTCACTTTGCTGTAGCAGGGATTATATTTTTCTTTAAAAAGTATAAATGCTATACTGCAGCCTTGGGACCCTCCTGTCATTCTATAATGTTCCTTTTCTGAATAGTTAGTATTTAAGCAGACCACACAGTGCATACAATTATTGAAGCCAGGGGGGGTCAGGAGGATGGTCAGTAAGTAGTGTAAGTCCCAAAATGTTATCAGGCAACATGAGCTCCATCTAGGGCAGTGGTAGGCAAAATATGGCCCCCAGACCAGATCCAGCCTGCCAACTGATTGGATTTGGTCCGTGCATGGGAGCTTGCCAATTGATTGTTATCTGGCCTGCAGCCACCCCTACAGCGTTCAGCATGGATCCACTCCACTGCCTGCAGGTGGCTGCTCATTGTGCTGGTCAGGTAGAGTGAGTGGAAGGTAGCTGGGAACAGGAGCTGGAGCCCCACATGCTGGGGCAGGAGCTGCCTGGCTGTAGCTTCCCCTACTGCCTGGCTGGGGGTGTGGTGCCCAGAACATGTCCCTACAGCCACTGCCATTTCTGTGCACTACCTGCTGCCTGAAGCGGCACAGCAAGGCCAGGACGTGGTGGAGAAGCTGCTGGAGGCAAGGCGAGTCGAGCAGCACCGAGGCGGCTGTAGCAGCAGCCTCACCAGAAAACTGTTCACACTGGCCAGGGCTGAGGCTGCGCTGTCTGGCAGAAATGGGGCAGAAGCAAAGTGCGGGCTGCCCCAGGAGGGAGCAGGCAGGCTCAGCTCCATGCAGAGCACTGCAGGGGCAGCTATGGGCTGGATGCGGGGACAAACCACACTGCACTGTATTGCCTGGATGAGTTCTGCTATATGCAGCCCATGTCCCCACCCCCTGCTCACTCCACCCCTGGCTGGGTCCCAGGAACTAATGCATGAGCAGCCTCCAACACATGCATATACCCACCTCCCACACATGCCCACCCCAACACACATAATCCACACCCTCCCCACACACAATATACAAGAATTAAGACTGTATTTTGAGCTATTATGCAATTGCCTCTATAGACACTACTCAAAAAAACATAAAATCAGGACAAAAATATTTTTGAAATAAAATTAAAATATGGTAGATGTTTGGTTTTTAGCATACAATTTGTTTTTCATCTATAATTTGTTACAAATGATATCTTCTGACAAATATTATGTGTGCAGCCCTCGACAGCTTGCCCATCTTGTTAAGTTGCCGTTCATACAAAATAATTGCCCACCCCTGACCTAGACCAGGGTGCTCAACTCCTAGCCTGTGGGCCAGATCCAGCCCACAAGGCCAGGTCACTCAGCCCACAGGGCTCGCCATAGGTCTGGAATTTGGGTGGCCACCATTTCCCCACCCCCAAATTTCCAAGCCCCTTCCTATGTATGGCCATATTGGGCCCCAGCTGGGCCACTGCTACACGAAAGGGAATGAGTCGTTGCTGCCCTGGCCCCACATTGCTGGACTGAATCCCAGTTACATCCACACCACAGTGGATGTAATCATCAAGGCAGCACAGGCAGCCACCTAGAGTGGCAAACTGAAGGGGAACAGCAAAAGCCGGTGTGCCCACACCTCACATGTTTAATTGGCAGCCACCCTAGGACTCAGATCATGTGCAGAAGCAAGCAGGACAGGTGCAGCCGCAGCACTGCCACTCTGGGATTCTGTCTGGTGCCCTCCCTCACCAGGTCCCAAGTATATTACAAGGGAGGATGGCAACATTTCATTTGCCTAGGTAGTAATAATCCTTGTGCTATTCCTACACCCCACACATCTGGGTCAGGCCACTACTAGGCCAGTTCTGCGTGGCTGGCCTCCCCACCCACCCATCCATCCCACTCCCAGATGTCACTCCCCACCCACCTGCGGCCCCATCCGATCCACCCGGCTGAGTGCACCCTGCCCATGAGGGTCCTGTGCTGGTCTTCATGGAGACTGCACCTATCTGCTCTGTCCAGCACCCTGAGAGGGCCACTTAGGGAGTTTTAGTGAGCTGTTGAGGGCCAGGAGGTTTGCTGAGCCAACATGGTGGTGGGGAGGGGTGCTGACCCAGCCTTGTAACAGCTCATCAAAACTCCCTTAGTGGCCTTCCACCTCAAATAATTGCCCACCCCTGCTATAAACCATCAAAGGAATTAATTTTTATTACATGTATGCATATAATTGTTATTTATGTATTACTTTTATATGTGTACATATAATTTGTGTTGTTCCTCAAATTATAATTCACATCTGAACCTACATCTTCCCTTAATCACCTCAGTGTGTTTTGAGTCACTCTGTTAATTGTCAGATTTTACCTACAAGACACTAGACTTGTAGCACATTACCTCTTTGAATGATCTTTCACATAATAATAGAACATTCATAAGGGAATTTCCTTTCCTTTCCATGCTGCTACCTTGACCCCTTTTATTTGATTACAAATATAGCCTTAACTACTCAAAAACAGTTAAACAAAAATGGCATACAACTGCTTGATTTTAATTAATATTTCCCTTATTAATCAGATAAATATGTTTTTCAGGAAAAGGGTATACCAAGTGAGCTGTTTGGTCCACCCCTGGCTTCTAGTTCAGATCAGGAAACATGAGCTGCAACTACTAGAGTGACACCCTCAGGAAGGAAGGGATTAGCCAGAACACTTCTGAGAGTAAAATGCAGGTAGGAAAGAGGCTGTTGCAAACCTGTCTGCTGCTGAGATTCAGCTACCAAAGCAACATTTGCCTGACAATTATTTACAAATATTTGCCTCAGGAGAACAGACCTCTGCTCTTCTAAATCTGTTCAGAGAACTATTCTGCATATTTAAGAATATGTCTATGGTAGCATAGAGAGGTAGTTAGCTGTACTAGTCTAAAGTCAGTCAGAAGGCAGGTAGCTCTGTGGCCTTATAGACTAATTAAACAGCAGCATAAACATACTAGCTAGCCTGAGCACCTGTAGCAGATTTGTTCGCAGCACTGACCAGCAGATAGTGCTTAGGGATCATTAAAGCACAATTAACCCTTAAATGGAACGTGAAATATGAACACAGACAACTCAAGTGTCCTAAAATCAAAGTCTAACATTACTAGTACAACAAGTATTATCTTAGCAGTTTCTATATTCAGAGA